TGCTTATTAACTAATAGTGCGGAACAACGAAATATATAATCCCCTATTGGATGGCATGCCATTCGGGAGGCATCAACCCTAAACACCATGAGGCAAGGTGTTTAGGGTTGATGCCTCCCTAATGGCCAGCCATTCGAGTGGGTTTTATTAAAATTTTAGACACTGGCTACTAAACTGAAACCAGGTAGTCTTCATAAAATCCCTGGAAATGTCAGAAAGAAATGTCCCAAAGGAATCGGACGCGAGCGCGAAGCGGGGTGGTGTCAAAACCACTGCCGAAAGGAATTGGAAACCAGAAAACAGGGCGCTCCGTCATTTCCTCTTCATTTTGTCTTTCTGAGTTCCTCGGCAGCCAGGTTGATTGATAAGGGCGGTTCCAACGCGTTCGTCCCTCGTTCGTTCTGTTACTCTTGTTGCGTCACGGTGCAAAACGGTGAAGCTTGATAACCGCTGTGCACTGTCTGGAATCGTCTTGCGCCACGACGGAAGAGCTGTTAACGCCGCGCTGACTTCCTCATTCTTTTCCGCCGCCGCGCGTACAGAATGACGAGTCGGCTCGCCTCGTGCGTCTCTAACAACTCAAAAGCGTCATCTTGGCCTCGCGCGCCATGTACTTCGGTTTCGTTCCTCAATCCCAACTTAAGCTTTGAATCCTCGCCATACGCGTTCCCTCACCAGCCTTTGCTACTTAAGACTGTACCAGCGGAAACGTGTGCCAAGCAACCGTCAAAGCGGCTGGGCTCCGCCTCGCCCCAGCGTCGAGCTTGACGAGCGTAGCCTCCGCTCCGAGTTGGCTCCCCACAATGACGTGTCCCGCTGATCTCCTTCTCGTCATCGCGCTTCTCCTTTCCTCAACGTGACAATGCCTAGCTGTTCGGCAACGTTAGCCACGTTACTCGACCGTCTGACGAGTCGTTTGGTCGCATTCTTCTCTCCGCGTCGTTCCTCTTGCGCACGAGGATATGGGTTCGAACCGCAGCAAACGGAGTGGTCTCCTCAAAGTTCTTAACTAACAGCTAGGAGTGTTTAGAGTGGGAAAAAAGTAGAATCGGGACTTGGTTAGTCCAACTTCAGTAAAGAGCGTAGGCGAACGCATTTCGGCCGTGAGGCCTTCGTCAGCGCCGTAGGATTACAGAATGAAAGACTACTCTAACCCCTTTTCTACCCTTTTCCCGTTATCCTCTAACTTCCCCGAATTCCCCTAGGTCAAGACAAACTTCAGGTGTAATCTACCCGAACTTCAAGCAATTGCCAAGTCGGATCACCCTTGCCAACGCGGACAAACAGTCCCAAGGTCAAAGGGACTTCCAATCCTCGATACCCGGTGAGTTCGCTGTAGTGAAGCGAGCCCTTACCAGTCGGTGTTGTAACCGCGCAGGTAACTTCCAACATGTCAAAAAGCGAGGGAATTGTAAGCCTGCTATATCGAAATCACTTTTGAGAATTCTCAAAAGTGACCCCAGTCCCATGCTCGATGTTTTCGGGCAGCGTCTTACCTTCAAGGACTGGGGTGCTTCCCTCTGTTTTGTCTTCATGCAGCCTTGGAGCAAAGAATCCTGATCCTTGTGTTTCACACGGTCGAAGATCGGACGTAAGAAGCTGTCAGGGTACCCTCGGGCTTTGAGACGTTTGAAGAAGGCCACCTTCCTGTTTAAGAACGTGGTAGCTGAAGAGTTACGGAGGCAGTGCCTCTTAAGCTCGCCCGAGATGAACCCTATCTTGCATTCCCTCGAGTGGTAGGAGGAGAATGGAAGGTACAGGTACTTGTTAAGTGGCTTCTGAAATGTTGAGACGTCCAAGCATCCGGTCTTCTTAAACCTTTCCCCTTTGTAGAGAGTCAGGTCGAGAAAGTCAACACTGTTGTCGTTAACTTCCCAAGTGAACTTGATGGTTGGGCGGAGCTCGTTGAACGCCGAGAGGAACTTCTGTAGCTCTTCTCTCCCCTTATCCCAAAGGATAAAACCGTCATCTATGTACCTATAATGTACCAGTGGCAAATGGTCTACCTTCCGATATAACTCCTCATCCAGCCAACTCATAAACAGGGTGGCGAAGATGGGAGCAACCGGGGTGCCCATTGCCGTACCTTGTACCTGCTGATATACTTTATTATCAAACTAAACAAAGGAATTGAGCATCACCCACCTAAGTAGCTTAACCAGCAGCGGCCTAAGAGGATGTTGTTCACGAAACAAAAGCCTATCTACTGCTTCTACCCCATCTAAAATTGGTGTAGAAGGATACAAGCTTTGAACATCATAGGTGCACAAGATAATATATGAGTTAAGCTGCAAACCTTCAATCTCCAGGAGTAAGGAGGTACTATCCTTCAAAAAGGTCTTCTGTTTCTTCAGAAGAGGTCGGAGTTGACCATCCATCCATTTGGATGCCAAGGTAGTTATCCAGGAGTGGGAGGCAGCGATTGGTCGCCCCACAGGCACCTTCTTGTGCATTTTCAAGAGAATGTAAAACCATGCTGGCTTCCAGCCTGTCTCTGGTGGTGTTTCCAGATACTGTAGTCCCATACTCTGTTAGGGATGCAGGGAAGGAATTCCATCCTGATCCTAGAAAAGCTGGACTGAATTTGTTCCATGGGAATGAAGTCAACTTTTCTATAGACGCTGTCACGCCGAAGATGCTGAAGACATTGCTCAAGGTAAAACCCTTTTCCATAATGGTTATCCCGAGATTCTTATCTGCGGGTTTAACCACAATAGAGGGGTCTTGAGCCAAGGCTTTCAAAGCTTTCCTCAACTCTGGAGGAAAGTTTGTCCACCTTTTGGGTTGAACTTCCAACAGATGCTGTTGAAGTTTACCCCTGTGTTTCTCCACTATAAGATCAAGACATACATCACGTTTTTCAGCAGGAACATCCCAAGTAGAATTAGGAATTCTAAAACTAACTTCCCTCTTAACATTCCCAAAGAAACGTATAAGCCTTAGGTTTCTAGCAAAACGATCAAAATCAGACAGAATAGCTACATCCGTGGTGTACTGTGCAGGTGAAGGTGTTGGGATGAAATTCAAGCCAAGTCCCAGGACTTTCTCCTCATGGACTGTAAGTCTTCTGGAGCTAAGATTGAAGATACTTTTATTCAGCACCCTTCTCCTGAGTTGTGAGTCTGTCATCTTCCCAAAGTAATGAAGAGCCAACTCCCGTTCACTGAGTGTTGCTAACCCTGTCCCCAAAGGTTTCCTCTTCCTTGGAACCTTCTGCCGTTGCCTCTTCCTCCCCTGCCGCCGTCTCCCCTGCCCCTCCCCCTCCCCCTCCCCCAACCTGGCCCGTTTTTTGGCTCAAAGAAGGGATCAGAAGGGAGGCCATGGAAGTTGTCAAGTGGTTGCCAGGGGTTACCCCACGGGTTCATGGGGGTTGGAAATGAATGTTGCTGTGGCCCATTGTACCACTGCTGCTGCTGTCGCTGCTGCTGCTGCTGCTGCTGCTGCTGCTGCTGCTGTCGCTGCTGCTGCTGTTGTAGCTGCTGCTGTGGCTGTGGTTGCTGTTTCTTCTGCTGCTGTTGTTGCGACAACTGCTGTTGCTGCTGCTGCTGCTGGGAATGGGGTTTCGATTCCCCCATCTGTTTCTCCAGTGCTGCCAGCCGCTTGTTTAAGTCGGATTTGTTGAGAAGTTCACGTATGGTGGGTTCCACCTCCATAGTTTCTGCTGTCGCTTTAGCATTCTGCTTCCGCTGCACCTCTCGCTGTGTCGCCTCCTGCTGCTCCACGTACTTCAGGGTTTCTTCCATGATGATCTCTTTGCAGGACTTCGAAAACAAAGCCAGCATCTGCTGTTCCCAGGTGTTGAAGCTCTCCTGAAAGACCACCGAGGGTCCCATGTTACGCGTTTTCTCCAGCTGGTGGCGGAATCCTCCTTCAGCATTCTCAATGTTGGCGGAGAGCTTCTGCAGCTCCTTTTCGTGCAGCCTAATCAGTAGTTCGAAGCAGCACTTCTGGTATTCTCGTTCCAGATTCTTGAATCCTTCGTCCCCATCCGTCTTGACCTCGAGATCATTCCCCAGGTAAGTCATAGGTGACGACTTGAAACTCTTGGGCAGCTTTCCTTCAGTAAACAACTGTTTGAGACGTTCCACCTTCGTCTTCAATTTCAGCTGCCTGACAACCGCATCTCGAACGGTCTTGGTGTAATTATGGAGCTCATGCAACAAGACATCCGGAATTTTGTCTGTTACAGGACTTCCATAAGTCGAACCAGACGAGGCAGATCCATGAGATCCTTTCGATGCAACGACGAATGCTTCAAACGTCGTCATAAATATGTCCTTCTGTTGCTTCAGAAGCCCCATAACCTCTCCTGGTTCCAGTTGCCGTGGCTGTTGAAGCATCTGCCGCTGCTATTCTTCTAGTTGTTATTGAAGAGTGGAATTAGCGAGGTCAGCCGGATTGGTTGCACCTGGTCCTCCTGCTGGATTTGGACCATGAGACGCCATCAGCTTCTTTATGTGCGTCGCTTCCGTTTCCTGTAGAAGTTTTTCCAAGGAATTAGTAACGATGAAATCTTCTTCGAACGAATCAGGCACAATTTCTGGCTCAATGTTGGTTACGACTTGAGCAGGATCCGTCGCCGACTGAGATAGATCTGTAGTCGTGCGAGGCAAAGATGGATCCGTAGATGTAGACGGTAACTGGACCGTGCGAGTCGCCGACTGAAGCAAATTGCTCGTAGACGCTTGTGGTAGGCAGATCGCCGGAGCAGATCTGACGTTCACCGCGATCGCCGTTTCCTTGCCAAAATCTCTAATTGCTGGAGGAAATTCTTGATCAGCAAGAGAAAATCTAGCAGAACGAAAACCAGGAAGAGATGGACCTTCGATCGCAGCTATCTTAGCTGTGTGTGCATGAAGAATTAATCGTCGAAGTAGAAAGTTCTCTGGTGACCTCTCCGTCGATGAACGTTTCCAGCCGCAATCTCCAGTCATAGAAGATGAGAAACGAAGACCACGTATATGCTCGGCGATTCCCGTTAGCAAAGCAGAGGTCGCCTCATGCGCACGAGGATATGGGTTCGAACCGCAGCAACCGGAGTGGTCTCCTCAAAGTTCTTAACTAACAGCTAGGAGTGTTTAGAGTGGGAAAAAAGTAGAATCGGGACTTGGTAAGTCCAACTTCAGTAAAGAACGTAGGCGAACGCGTTTCGGCCGTGAGGCCTTCGTTAGCGCCGCAGGATTACAGAATGAAAGACTACTCTAACCCCTTTTCTACCCTTTTCCAGTTATCCTCTAACTTCCCCGAATTCCCCTAGGTCAAGACAAACTTCAGGTGTAATCTACCCGAACTTCAAGCAACTGCCAAGTCGGATCACCCTTGCCAACGCGGACAAACAGTCCCGAAGGTCAAAGGGACTTCCAATCCTCGATACCCGGTGAGTTCGCTGTAGTGAAGCGAGCCCTTACAAGTCGGTGTTGTAACCGCGCAGGTAACTTCCAACATGTCAAAAAGCGAGGGAATTGTAAGCCTGCTATATCGAAATCACTTTTGAGAATTCTCAAAAGTCATCGCGCTTCTCCTTTCCTCAACGTGTTAATGCCTAGCTGTTCGGCAACGTTACCGTAAGCCACGTTGCTCGACCGTCTGACGAGTCGTCTGGTCGCATTCTTTCTCTCCGCGTCGTTCCTCTCTCACAGGCCCACCCTCGTTCCCTCTCTTTGCAATCGATTGCAGCGCCGACCCCCAAGTCCACGTCGCTCTACATCGTGCGCCTGCGCTCCGCCCTTCCCCTCGCCGCGTATCGCGGCGGGATAGCGAGCTACTCGGGATGGACGGACGACGACGGCGAAGATGAGGATGCTGGTCCGTCAGGTCTGCGGGCAACAGCGGCGACAGTCGCGCACGAGGCGGTGACGCTGGCTGGCAGCATTCCGCATCGCGCGCGACTGAGCACGGAGAACCCACAGCTGAAGGCGTATGCGCAGATGCTGGAGGCGCAGCAGACGCAGATCGCGTCTGACGTGGGCGTGACGTCAGATCGCATTGTGTACAGGTGCGAACAGTAGCGAGACAAGAAGGACACCCACTTCTCCCGTACCATTTGTACTTGACCATGAATAGTAGCACCCAATGTTTTGCTCGGGAAATAGGGCTTCTTTGACACTTTTCTGCAAATTTTCTCCTTGCATGTGATGACCACGCTCCTTGCCATCCCCACTTCCCATCCCCCCTCTTTCTCCCCTCTCCCCTTATACCTCCTCCTCCTCTCGCCCCCGCACCCATTCCCCACGCTCCCCTGCTACTTGCTTCGCCAGCTACAAGCATGCGAGCAACGGGTTTGCAGCATCGCTGTCGCAGCAGCAGGTGTGGCGGCTGCGGCGGCACCCGGCAGTGGCGGCAGTGACGCGCAGCCGCAGCATCGCGCCCCTCTCCATCGACTCCCCCACGTTCCTCCGCATGGGCGCCCGCGGGTCGCTGTGGCCCGCCAATGGCGGGCAGGCGAGTGTGGGCGAGGGCATGGTGATAGGCGTGGTGGACTCGGGCATCTGGCCCAAGCACCCCTCCTTCACCGATGCCGGTCTCCCCTCCTCGCGCCCTGCTGGCTGGTCAGGGAAGTGCCATGTGACGAGGGAGTTCAAGTGCTACAACAAGGTCATCGGCGCAAGGGCCTTCTACGAGGGCTTCAGAGAGGAGTACGGCGACCTAAACCTGACCAGCGATTGGTTGTCGCCCCGAGATTCGTACGGCCACGGCACGTGGTGTGCAGGGTATCTGGCCTGGCCTCCGCCTCAAGGTTGGATGCCTCTTTGAACGGCCTTCCTCCTCTTGTGAGCCCGGCACACTTCAAAGTTCAATTTGGCGCCCATTATGGTGACTCTGCTCATCTCCTGTCTCTCACCTCCACACCACCCCCCCCTCGTTTGCCGTCCTTCTCCCCCTCCTTCGCTGCAGTGCAGCAGCAGGCAACAAGGACGTGCACGTGGCCGGCGGCGGCAGGGCGAGCGGCATGGCGCCAGCAGCGCGCCTCGCAGTCTACAAGGTCTTTTGGTATAATCCGGACCACGAGACCTTGTACAGTGCCTCACGTGCCGACATTTTCGCTGCAGTGGACCAGGCGGTAGCGGACGGTGTAGATGTCATCTCAATCTCTATCGGCGGTGTTTGTGGCATTCGGTGCAGGCAACGATGGTCCTCCCCGCCCCTCTGGCCGCACTATTGCAAACTTCTCTCCCTTCTACCTCACTGTGGGGGCAAGGTGAGCTCGCAGCTTCTCTGTCCTCCTTACCAACGCCCAACCATATCATCTCGTCTGCTTGCTCCCATTCTCGCCGTCCATTTATGTTTCCCTCTCCTTCTGCCCGCCCTCTCCCCTCTCCTTCCTCCCACCTTGCTCGTCCACCCTGCAGCACCATTGGCCATGGCGGTCAAACATTAGTGGCATTTACAGCATCTGGAGCTCTGAACAGCTCATCCTCCGCATCAGCCACCCTGGCAGCCACTGCCCTTCCTGTCGTGGCCAATTTCTCCTCCACCGGATCCCTCGCGGACCTTTCCACATACCCCATCGGTGCCTTCCCCACCAACAGCATCTTAAAGCCCGATATTGTCGGCCCGGGCGTAGATCTCTACGATGCATGGCCGGCTAGGAAGATCGGGAGGCCGGGGGGATACATGCGGATGCGGGGGACGTCCATGGTGACGCCTCACTTGGCGGGCATTGCGGCTCTCATCATGCAGAAGCACCCCTCATGGAGCCCTGCGCAGGTCATGTCTGCCATCTGCACCACCGCCACCACCATTGACACCAGCGGTGCTGCCATCAAAACTGCTTATGGCAAGGCTGCCACACCGTGTGATATGGGATCTGGCCATGTTTTCCCACCCAGGGTGCTTGATCCTGGCCTAACGTACGACGCTCAGGCAGCTGCTTATAGGAATTTTCTAGCCAGACAGAATCTGGCCCTGGCAAAGATGGATTTCCCAAGGACTAAGCTTATTGCAGTTCCTCCCTATGAGCTGAACCGTCCGAACATATCAATTTCCCACTTGAAAGGGACGGTGACAGCAACGAGGAGTTACAAATGTTGCCGACTCGTCGTCCAGATACACGGCGAGCATAAAGCCTGCTACAGGCGTGCAGGTGACGGTTTCACCCAACAAGTTTACTATTGCTCCGGATGGGAAGGTCACCTTTAAGGTCACATTCAAGGTGACCAAAACTTCTGACAAATTTCAGTTTGGAAGCCTAACATGGGTAGATGGTAAAGGGCACTCGGTCAGAACAGTACTTGCAGTTCAGCCCACTAAGTTATGAGTTAGTACGGTATGCATCAGGGCTATTCTTTCATTTTTGGGTTCCCTTATTACCAGTATTTACCAGTCTTGTCATTTTGGAGACCCTGATTATCAGTCTGACCTGTTACGGTACCATTACTTAATCCATCAGGGTTTTCCCTGTTTTTGAAATACCATATAAAACCCTAGGGCTGAAGTGTGATTTTTTTAATAACCCTGATGCATACGGTGTGTTAGTGTACCTTTTTTTCTTTGTTGTCGCGATAACTTATCTTTGCCATGTCAGCCATACGATGCGACACGACTTGCTTGCTAGGGATGCTGTGCCCTAGTGAGTTCCAATCAGGTAGCTGTGTCTGTATAGGTTCCAGTGCCTGGTCCAGTTGCTGCGTCTTGCTCGTGTCGCTCACTTGCTCACCCCACCGTTTTGTGGCACCACCAGATGGGGCACCCGTCCATTCCTCGCCTGCGCGCTATGTCTAGTCGGCGTCTTGTCTTAGGCCTCCCGCGCGTCTTGCCGTCGCTGCCGCCTTCGCTTGCCCCACCCTACGGTCCCTACGTCGAGGGTCGGCTGCACGCCACCCCTCACTCCTCCTCCCTTCGTCCGGCCACCGAGCCATTCAAGTCTCTCCACTTGGACGTCTAGGGCCCCGCCCCTTGCCCTGGCCCTGAGCGTGAGAGTTTCTTTCTGGTGGTCGTTGACGACTACCTCGCTACACCACAGTGTTCCCCCTGGCGAACAAGTCTGAGGTGACTTCTACGCTGATCCGGTGGTTACTTACCACTGCGGACACTCGTTGTCGTCGTGTCAGCTGTCTTCACTCCGACCGCGGGGGTGATTTTTGCTCCGGCATTCTCGCTGGATTCTGTCACAAGCAGGGCATCCGTCACGCTTCCAGAGTCCCCGCAGCAGAATGGGGTTGCTGAGCGCCGCATAGGCTTGGTCATGGAGATTGCATGCACCTCCATGATCCACGCCCGTGCGCCCCATTTTCTGTGGCCCTACGCAGTTCGATACGCCGCTCACCATCTGAACCTCTAACCACGTGTCTCTCGGCCAGAGGCTTCACCGACCAGTCTTAAGACCAGGTCCCTTGGTGCTGCGTCGCGTTTTCGTGTCTGGGGCTGCTTGGCGCTTGTTCGCGACACCTCCGCGGATAAGCTCTCCCCGCGCGCCCTTCCCTGTGTCTTCCTTGGTTTCCTCGTGGACTCCTCCGACTTCACTTTTTACCAACCCCCTCTTCATCGGTTCTTTGACTCCCGCGACGTTCGTTTTGTCGAGTCAGACACCTACTACACCCGGTACCTTTGTCGAGGACTTTCGGTTCCTTCTCCCCCTCTTTTCCTGACTCCCGCCCCCCTTCCTACCCCTCTGGTACAGCCCCCCCCTCCTGGTACAGCCCCGTCAGGTGTGTCACACGCTACCCCTCCCCCTTCGGTAGCCCCTCATGTGCCGTCCGCTTCCCCACAGTCCTCCTCACAGCCTACTGCAGACCCTGCGGGATCAGGTGCTCGTGTCGAGGACCCTGGGGGCTCTACCTCTGGAGGGGTTGGAGGTGGAGCTGAGAGTGTGCCTCCACGAGGTTTTGGTGCTGGGGGTGCTGGCGTTGGGGCTGAGCCCGGATCTGCATGAGGTCTTCAGGGAGCTGGAGTTCGCTCTCCCTGGGGTTGCTACGATTGGGGGTGCGGGTGCCCCCCCTATGGGACCGGGAGAGTCTGGGACTGGCCGTGTTGCTGCAGGTGGTGCTGGCTCTGGGGGTGGTGCGACAGGTTCTTTGGAGAGCGGTCCTGGGGCTACCACCGCTCCGGAGACTACTCCTCCCCTCCACCCCTACCCGACGCGGCACCAGGCCTGTCTTTGCCGTGCCCGTGAGAAGCAGCTAGAGTTGTAGTGAGAGGAGAGAGAGTTGGAGCGGCAACAGCTGGAGCGACAGCGGCTGGAGGAGCAGCAGCAGCAGCAGCCGGAGCAGCAGCAGCCGCCGCAGCAGCCGCAGCAGCAAGAGCAGCAACAGCAGCCACCGCAGTTGGAGGTGCAGCGGTCGCAACCGCAGCACCAGCGGCAGCAGCAGCCGCCACCTCCTCCTCCTGTCTCTGATCTTCGGACCCTCGATCTCCCCTCTCCTTCTCTTCCCTCCCCCCCCTCTCCTCTTGTCTCTGGTCCTCCGCTTCCTCCTCCTGACCCCTCCCCAGCTGTTTTCACTCTTTCTCTTCCTCCGTTGTCCCCTCCTTTTCCTCACACTTGGCCCTCGCGTCGCTCTTCTCGTGCTCGTCCCTCGTCCCCTGTTCCCTTCTCTGACCTTTGTAATGCACTCATTTGTTCTAGTCCGCCTCGTTCGTCTTCTTCTTTACTACCTTCTCCTCCTGATTCGGATCTCACTGCTTCCCTCCCTTCTCGTGTCACGGACTACTACTGCACGTACCGTCCTGTTCTCTCTCGTGTTCTCGCCTCTCTTGTTACCGACCCACGTGCTCCTCTGTCCTCTGTCTCCGCTCTTACTGCCGCAGTCATTGAGTTTGCCTCTACTCGTCGCCTTAACTACGCCACCAGTCTTGTGGCTGCTCCTCCAACCAGTCCTCTATCCGTCAGGGTTGAGTCTGCCCTTGGCTGTGACGCCCTACAGGACAGGCAGTTTGAGCTAGAATTCTTGGCAGTCGCTTCCCCTCAGCTCTGTGCCATGCCGCTCGCCCCTGAGGGAGACCCCGACGCCCTTGACATACCGAATCCTCGCACTTACGCTGAGGCAGTGTTAGGGCCTTAGGCCTCTCAGTGGAGAGCTGCCATGGACTCAGAGATGGCCTCCTACAGATCCACAGGCACTTACGTCGACGAGGTTCCCCCCCCTGGGGCGAACGTAGTCGATGGCATGTGGATCTTCAGGGTGAAGCGGTCACCAGGATCTCATCCAGTCTTGCAGGCACGCAATGTGGCTAGAGGTTTCAGTCAACGCGAGGGAGATGACTTCTTTCAGACCTTCGCGCCTACCCCGAAGATGACCACTCTTCGGGTGTTACTGCACGTAGCAGCACAGAGAGACTACGAGCTACACTCTCTCGACTTCTCCACTGCTTTTCTTCAGGGTAGCCTACACGAGGAGGTCTGGTTGCGTCGTCCCTCTACCTTCACTGGCACTTTCCCTCCTGGGACCCAGTGGAGTCTAAGGCAACCGATCTACGGTCTCCAACAGGCTCATCGTAAGTGGCACAACACCCTTTGCTCTACCCTTTCTGACCTTGGTTTCCAGCCGTCTTCTGCCGACCCGTCGCTGTTCGTTCGTCGTGGCTCCACACCGGTCTTTGTACTAGTCTACGTCGATGACCTGGTTTTCACCACTGCTGACAGGGTTGCTTTGGCTGACGTGAAGCACGAACTACAGAAGAGACACACGCGCATTGACCTTGGTGAGCTGCGCCACTACCTTGGCCTGCAGATCACTAGGGACAGAGTCGCTCGCACCATAACACTCTCACAACCACACATGGTGCAGTAGGTCCTTCAGTGGTTCGAGATTTAGCACTCTACAGTACAGCGCACACCTCTTGCCGTTGACCACAGACTCACTGAACCTTTTCCTCACGAGCGGTTTGAGCCTAGTGGTCCCTACGCAGAGCTTGTGGGTTGCCTAATGTACCTGTTGACTTGTACTCGCCGGGACCTCGCCTTCACTCTCAGCATCCCTGCTCGCTTTGTTGCGCCAGAGAGACACCGTCCAGTTCACTGGACAGCTGGTGTGGAGGTGGCGAAGTACCTACCGACGACATCAGGCGTGGGGCTGGTTCTTGCAGGGAGACAGAACGTCGTGCTTACTGGTCACTGTGACTCTTCTTACGCTGACGATGCCGAGACTTAAGGTCTACACAGGGGTACTGCTTCAGCCTGTGTTCTGGAGCTGTTTCGTGGAGGTCCACGCGTTCGTCCTCGGTCTCGACCTCTACCGTTCAGGCTGATATCTACACTGGAGCCATGGCTGCACAGGAGCTACGCTAGTTGACCTTCTTGCTCACTGACCTCGTGAGCGGCCGAGCTCTACACCGACCTGTCAAACATTACATATGTTATAGTTCTGTAGGCTTTAGTGGGTTTAGCCTTAGGGGGTACAAAATTCTTTGTTTTCCTACTTGTACTCTCGATCTTCCTAGTGCACTCATCCTTCTCATTCTAACATGGTATCAGAACGAGCAGCATTAACAGGCGACACAGGACGAGACTCAGGCGACACAGGACGAGACTCAGGCTCACGACGCTCTGTAAGACCGCCTGTCGGACCAGTGTAGGGAGAAGGACCAGGAAGTGGCAAGGCAGGCGGTAGCTGTGACAGTGACTCAACAGACGGAGGACACTCCAAGGAGGGAGCAGGATAAGGAGGAGGCGGATGACCAAGAACCTGCTGGAGGAGTGGAACGAAGTACGGTCGCGACCGTGCAGTGCCCCCAGAACCAGTAGAGACAGCACCAGAACCTCCAGCAGCAGCTCCAACTCCTGCAGCACCACCAGCAGCTCCAGTACCTCCAGTAGCACCAGCAGCTCCAATACCTCCAGCAGCACAAGCAGCACCTCCAGCAGCACCCCTAGTCCTAGCAGCTCCAGTACCGCCAGTACGAGCACCTCCAGGACCAGTGGCTCCAGCACCTCCAGTGCCAACCCCAGGGTCAGCAGCAACACCACCTCCAGTAGGCACAGCGCCCTCAGCTCCAGCTCTAGTAGCACCACGGAGGCGGCGACAGTACCGAGAGTAATACCGTCATCGCCCGCATATAAGACAGTGTCGAATTGAAGACATGGGGTGTCGTTAAAACGGGTGTTTCTTATAGATGGGTGTTCCTGATT